ATTTACTTAAATATTTGTATCTATAAAAAGAATGTTAAACATAAAATGTCTTAAAAATATATATATATATATATATATATATATATATATATATATATATATATACACACACACACAGTACACAGGAGAATAAGGTTTTATATATATATATATATATATATATATATATATACATACATACATACATACTGTTATACTGGAACACACCTATTGTTAATAGACTCTCCCACCTATAATAAGTAGTAGTAGTAATAGTAACGAGTCAGTTGCTCAGTGAGTCGCTCAGTCAGTCGATGTCGGATGAGCGTTAGTCGGATATTAAAGTATCAGCCACCACAACTAGATTGCTGCGTCATTAACTATTATATCAAGTTCCTAACATTTTGTATGTCGAACCTATTTTAGGACCGACTTAGTGAAATACAAGCCTCCACTGTGAAGCTACTCTATAACACATACATACATATACAGAAGAATAAGATTTATACATATATATATATATATATATATAAAAAGAATAAAGTTTTTATATATATATATATATATATATATATATATATATATATATATATATACAAAAGGATAAAGTTTTTATATATATATACACACAAAAAAAAAAGTTTTATATATATATATATATATATACACACAAAAAAATAAAAGTTTTATATATATATATATATATACACACAAAAGAATAAAGTTTTTTTATATATATATATATATATATATACACACACACACAAAAAAAGTTTTTTATATATATATATATATATACACACACACACAAAAAAACAAGTTTTATATATATATATATATATATATATATATATATATATATATATATATATATATGAGAATAAATTTTTATATACATATATATATATATATTAAAATATACAGAATATATATGTGTGTATATATATATATATATATTTATGTATACACACACAAGCATGTAGCCGAGTGGTTAGAATGTTTGCATTCTGACCAAGATACCTAGGTTCAAATCTCACCATGATTTATTTGTCAGAAAGGAGACTTCCTGATGTTATCGAAACTGGAGGGGAGTGGTTAGAATGTTTGCATTCTGACCAAGATACCTAGGTTCAAATCTCACCATGATTTATTTGTCAGAAAGGAGACTTCCTGATGTTATCGAAACTGGAGGGGAGTGGTTAGAATGTTTGCATTCTGACCAAGATACCTAGGTTCAAATCTCACCATGATTTATTTGTCAGAAAGGAGACTTCCTGATGTTATCGAAACTGGAGGGGAGTGGTTAGAATGTTTGCATTCTGACCAAGATACCTAGGTTCAAATCTCACCATGATTTATTTGTCAGAAAGGAGACTTCCTGATGTTATCGAAACTGGAGGGGAGTGGTTAGAATGTTTGCATTCTGACCAAGATACCTAGGTTCAAATCTCACCATGATTTATTTGTCAGAAAGGAGACTTCCTGATGTTATCGAAACTGGAGGGGAGTGGTTAGAATGTTTGCATTCTGACCAAGATACCTAGGTTCAAATCTCACCATGATTTATTTGTCAGAAAGGAGACTTCCTGATGTTATCGAAACTGGAGGGGTCAATCCCAGTGTGCGGTACCTTTGGAAAATGTCTGAAAACCATACAACAGGTTGACCCAAGACTTGTGAGTTAAATTGGGTAGACAGAACCCTTGGGTAACATTGATAGCTGTGCTAGCACAAAGTCACAAATCATCGTGGCTGATGGCTTGACCGTGCTGGCCTTGTTCAAATTGTTGATCACACTAGATAACACGCTCTTTCCTAAAAACTGTAACTAAGGTATGCTCAGCATAGTTGAAGTATGTGGGTGTTGAACAAACACAAAATATGCCTGAGTGAGCATCTGCAATAGGGATTGGCTAGCCACCCTAATAAATGGGTATCCTCAAATAAGAGTGGCCAGCTATATATATACAGAAGAATAAAGTGATAAGTTAGAGGTTCAAGAGATCAAATGTAAATGTCCTTGTGCATACAAGAGAGAGTCTTAGAGACTGTATATACATATGTATGTATCTATTCAAATTTTGTACTTGTTTTATTTAAAATGTGAGTGAAGGAAGTATATTTTAGTTTTCAATGCAGGACTGTATGTCACGTTATGGTCACTGATAGTAAAAGAAGGTAGAGATTATATGAATCTATGCAAGACTGTGTGGGTTGTGCATGTAAGATAATTTGGTTCTGGGTATGTCATGATGACTACAGCATCAGAGAAAGGATAAAATTAATTCATCAATTCTGAATTACTTTCCATCTTTTTATGTACATATCTAGAGATCAGCTTTGAAACTGTCACTTGGTTTCAAACTGATTCATGATCAGAGACCTTATATCCTGGTTGGGAACCAATCTTGTTTCTGATTCACCTGCTAGACTATGATGTTCATATCCCGGATGGGACAGTTTCAGATTAATTGGTCGAAATATGACTTCATTGCCTGGCGATTCTGAATATACATCTATTTTTAAAGATGGTGTAATTTTGGTCTCCTTTTTATTATTTGTTTATTTTTATTTATTTTTCTATCTCTACAAAGCTACTTTATGGAATGAAAAGTGTCACTAATGAGTCATTCCAATTTGTCATAACCACTATAAATTCTAAAAAGAAGTAAAATATCAATCAATCCAGTTTCACAATAGAAAAAAACATATTGAGCAATCAAGTGAATAAGATTGAAAGTTTTGAAATGAGCAAAGAGAGAAATATAAATAAACTAAGTGGGGAGATAAGAGAAAAAAAATAGAAAGGGGGAGAAATGGAAAGAAGAAAAAAACGAGAGAAAGAAAGAGAAAAAGGGTTAAAGAAAAAGAAAGAGGGAAAGAAAAAGTAAAAGAAGAAGGACAAATGCAAGCATCAGACCAGAATGAAAATATAAGTAATAAATCCCCACTCCACCAACAAAAATGAGTAAAAAATATTTAAAAATAAAAGACACAAGCCAAAATGCACCAAAATAAATCTCTCCTTCTATGTGGGACACTTCCAGTGATTTATTATCATGTAATACAAATAACATCAAAGGCGCCAAGGGAGAACAAGTGTCAAATGGTTGTCAAAATTGGTCCACAGAGGAACACTTATGATTTGATGCCATTTCAAGAACTATGGATGTCCTTCTAGCTCTGAGAGAAATGCAAATTGATCAAGTCATTTGACAAAATAGCAAATAATCTGCAATCTCTATTTTCTTTCTTCCATTCCTCCAGGCACTGGCTGCTTAAATGGATGTATCAACTTAAAGACTTTTTTTATTATTATTATTATTATTTTGGTTTGGTAAAAAAAGACCAAGGTGTGAAAAACTAAATTACAAATTGCTTCTAAAATAAAAAGAAAAAGTTACAAAAAGAAGTAAAAAATAATGAATAAAAATAACTACAAAAATAAATGAATAAAATTAAAAAAATAAATGGGAAAATTTAAAACATTACAAAAGCAAAAATGTAAACAAGATCAAAATAAAAATAAAGATAAATGTAAAAAAATTAAATAATAAATAAAATAGTAGCAGAAAAAAGTTAAAATTTATAAAAGAAAGAATAGATTAAAATACAATCAGAATTTTTTAAAATATGTTAAGAATAAAGGAATATAAATGAAAAAAAATAAATAAAAATGGAAGAGAAAATAAGAAATAAATTTGATAAAAATAAGTGAAAAAGTTTAAAATAAGAAAATGAAATAATTAAAAAAAAATATTAAATAATATTTGAAAAATAGAAAGAAATAAAACTAATAAAAAGGAAGAAAATACAAAAGAAATCTAAAAAGGTAAATCTAAAATTTAAAAGACAGAAAAAAAATAAATGAAAAATAGGCCAGAATAAAATTATAGAAACTAAAAGAAAATAACATGAAAATGTTTTTTTTTAAAAAAAAATTCAAATAACAAATACAGAGGATACTTTAAAGAAGAAGTTGAACAACCTAAAAAAAAGAACATATCTCACATACTGAATGTTTAGACAGAAAAAAAATGAAGCTGAGTATTATAAACAGGCTGAAACTTAGGATTTCAGAAATTTTTTGTCAGTTCTATTCAAAGCTTACTTGCCTGTATTGAAGAAACCTCAAAGGAGAAGACATGATTAACAATACAAAATGAACAAATGATAAGGTCAAGTCAGGGTTAGGAAGAACAAGAAAAATATGTTTGTCTTGCATTTTAAAGATACAAAGAAATTCTTTAGCAATATTTAAACAAAAAAAAACAAACTTGTATCGCAGATGTTATGATATGAAAAACATGTTGAACTGCTTTTTAACCCTATAGATATATTGTCCTTACAGAACACACTAACTGATCAAATAAAAAGTATTATTCCATTTTTGTAATAAGTTTTGTTTTGATACCTAAGTATCAAAACTTCATGCAAATACCTTTGCAGATTTATACAAATATACTTTCAAACACAGATTTTTTTTCTTTTTTGGGGATTTGTTTTTTTTTTTTTTTACTGCTCATCAACACATTACAGGTTATTCAAAGCTGAAACATATTTTTGAACTATAATAATTTTTTGAGATACTAGATAATTTACTGATGCAAGACCTAATATTTAACCCTTAGCTGGAGGAGAAGAGGTGAATTTATACCTTTTCCAATGGTATTTGTGCATAAGTGAATATAACAAAACTGACTGGAATTGACAATCGTCTTTCTAACTTCTCAATTAAGCTGGTTTCCATTACACCACCTGCACAACCAAACAGCATCTGCTATTCCCAAGAAGTTACCCATCTAGGCACTGTTCAGCCTCAACTTTTGCTTAACTTCAGTGAGTGGATAAAAACCAGTGTTTCAACAAATTCACATAGATATTCATGCACACAAACATAAAAACAATAATAATCTCATGTAAAAAGAATTCATTAACACAACGTTTAAATATTGTTTACTGTAATTTTCAATTAAAATATCAGATTGTTTATTTAGGATACGAGTTACATCAATATCAAATTGAAACTCCATTTCCTATATGATCACCAAAGTTAACCAATGTCAAGCCTGGTCAGTACCTGGATGGGTGACTGCTTGAGAATACCAGGTGCTGCAACCTGAGATGTGCAGGTGGTGTAATGTACACTGGCTTGAAATTTTTAATTGAAGAACTGAGTTTCAATTCCAGTTGGCTTCATTATATTCACTTACATGCAAACACCCTTGGGAAATGTATGAATTCATCTTTTCTCCCCCCGATATGGGTTGAATAGCAGGACAAACTGGGTCCTATAGTTTTGGTTGGCAAATAGTCTACCACAGAAAGAAATGGCAGCTTAGTGTGTGGGAAAGCAGAAAAAATCTTCTGGCTAGTCAATCATGAATCTAAAGAGAAATGATTGCTCATGCATATATCACGTCTGGTACTTAACTGACTTCTGATGTTAACATATATATTATATTATATATATATATATATATTATATATATATATATATATGCAAACATAATGAAATATATAATTTTTATTTATTTTAGGTCAACTAAACAGACACCCACATCATATAATAATAATAATAATAATGTCAGTATGAGGTGTTCCTGAAAACTCAAGGGAAATTAAACAATGGGCTTAAATTTAATGTAGTATGGATTTTGTAACTACCCTTTGTGAGTCATACAAAGAGACTACTTTTGAAGAAGATGGTGAAAACTAGGTATTTGGATAACTAATTTTTACAAACTTTTCCCAGTACTTCATATGTTTGTTTCAATATTGAATGTTTTCCCAAAACATATTAATCAGCTTAAAAGTATGTAACCTTTTTATCAGTTAAATCTTGCCTCGCAACTAAGTAACAACTGTATCAGGTTCACACAACATGAATTCATATGAAAGTGACATTAAAATTGCACAAATATAATGCCAAGAGGCACGATGGAGTAATGGTTAGCGGCTCAGATCGAGAGATTGGAGATCCAAGTTTGAATTCCAGTCAAGTTCATTGCATTCACTTACGTGATAATACTCTTGGGAAAAGTATCAATCTATCTCTTCTCACCTTAGCTATAGGTAAAATAGCAAGACAGACTGGGTCCTATAGCCTTGGGTGGCAACCAGCCCAGGAGAAGTAAACTCTGAATTCAAACTACCTGCTGCCTTGTTTATCTTGCCTCTTTAGGCAAAGGCTAGAAAATGGTAACTTCAAAAACAAATCCACCTCTGAGAGGAGGGATGGAGTAAACTCAATATCTTTGGTGTAAAATGAACTGGCAAGACATTGCACTATTCTTGATAAAAAAAAAAAGTAATGCTAGGATTTTTACTATAAAAATGTATTTTTACACTTTCATAGTGCTTTATTTTTGTTGGGGGGTAAACTATTTGCTCATAAATGGGACCCTAACAGGTGTCAGGGTGGACATGGGAACAACAGCAATTAAGAGGTGCTTCCAGGCTCCTCAAAACCTCCAATCTCCCGATCAGAGGCCTTGTTGCCAGATGACATGACTGGAATTAGTTATAGATTTTCCCAGGAGATCCTGATTTGGGAACTTTCCAATAACACTTCATACAGTAGATAATGATTATGTGTAATTAAGCTATTCATTAAGTTTGGTTAATTTTTCTTATCCCAGCTAAAGAACATATCTCACATACTGAATGTTTAAACAGAAACATCATTTCATTTGCTAGTCTGGGCTGACAAAAAATTTAGATGTCATTTTAAACAATAAATTAAAATTTTATATACCAAAATATTCTTTAATAATTACTCCTCATTAATTTAGAACCAAGCAAGCGCAAACAAAAATAAATGAAAGATTTAAAAATTAAAGTAAATATAAACAAATATTTGCAGATGTTCCATATTTGATTAAATTTTCGAATAACAATGGTAAACATCAACACATTTGGCAAAATCATCCATTTTTCACTATAATGGATCATTAATAAAATATTAATTAACTAAAAGTAATTTTTAAAAAGATTTCTTCAATCTTTTCAGATAACACTGATGTAATTTAATCTTTCTAGGTTTCAATTAATTCAGATCTATTTCAGTTTTTAAAACCAAAATTCATTTTAGCTCTGCATTATAAAAATTATGTCTATCAAAAACTAAAACAATTAATTACAGGTGATTTCTGACTGAATCAAACACTCAAACAGCTTCTACTTGAATGCTTTCCCAACCATTACACTCTTAACCTGTTCATGTCTAGGGTTAACCGTTATCTTTTCCACCTATCCATATAAACTGTGTCTCTTACTCTGTAACCCTCTACCTTGAGTGGCTCCCAGACCTTGTACAGTGTGAACTTCACTGTAGAAAAAATAAAGGAAACATTATTTACATTCAAATTAATGTCCTAATTGTTATTATCATATTGCAGCTCTTATATTCTGGCCTTTTTCAGGTATATGTCCATCTGAGTAAACTTCAGAGAATCTTGAACCAAACTATTTATTTATGTGATAGATTGTTATAATTCAACTGTTCACGTATAGCAATATATCATTTTGTTTTTATTTAGTCTGAGTAGGATAAGGAGCAATCTTCACTAAGACAACATCTCCAGAACTGTTAATTTGTGAAATACTCCCAAGAAGATACTTCCCTGACAACTAAATCTGGGTCTCTTTAAGTCTTGGGTCAAAACCCTGCCCCCCCCATTAGAATATCTGATGCTCAACTTCTCGAGAGCACCTCTCTGCAGCTGCTCGGTCTCATGTTGACTGCTGACCTGAGATGGAACAAATACATTGAGTCAATTGCTTCGTCCACCGCAAGGAAAGTTGTCTCCCTGTGCCGCGCCAAGAAATTTTTCTCCCCGGATTTGATCCTTCAAATCTACAAATCAACAATTCACCCTTGCATGGAGTATTGCTGCCATATATGGTCTGGAGACCCTTCTGTTTGTCTCGGGGTTCATGATAAGATCCAGAGGTGGATATGCAATATAATTAGCCCTGATCTGGCATCTCATCTACAGTCGCTCTCTCACAGATGCACCGTCACCTCTCTCTGTCTTTTTTGTCTTTTTTTTTTTTCCACGGTAATTGCTCCGCTGGTTCCAAGACTTCATGAATTCAAGCGCCGTACGGGGCTGGCATCCCACTCTCACCCTTTCACTGTTGAAACTATCAAATGTAGCCATCTCTTCTACTCCAATAGCTTCATTTCTCACACCTCTCGCCTGTGGAACTTCCTTCCCTATTCCTGTTTCCCTGAGAGCTATAATCTCCAACTATTCAAATGTAATGTCAATCGACATCTCCAGTTGCCTTGATCTATCCACTATCCTTCTCCTCATCCTTTCTTCTATCACTCCTATCTGATCTTGCTCCAAATTTTCTGTAACACCTTGCATCCTAGGGGTGTCCCACTTTGCTTGGGGTGAAACGCTTGAAAAAAAAAACAAAAAAAACCCTGATATCTATCCTGCATATCCTCATAAAATGTACAACCCAGCTCAGAAACTGAACTGACAATTACTATGTCACAAAATTCATAAAGCAACACTATAATCCATGAGGCTGTTGTACCATGGGACAATCATGAGGCTAGAAATTGGAACCTTAAACTTAATGTTCATATTGCCTTGATAAACTACAATAGTATATCTATAGGATTCACAAACTGAGATAAGCCATTCAATATTGATGGTATACCAATCATCCAAGTGCTTCTCTTGAAAATCAACAATTAAAATTTCAACACTTTACCTGAGCCTGAACACAAACCTGGAGAGGGATGGGCTTTACCAAAGATATGCTACACATAAATAAATACCTACTGAAATATGTGAAGGGAGCAGGTAAGTTACTCAGCTCTGCACTGACCCTACGACCACACCTAGTCATGGAATCTTCAAAAATTTATCACCATCAATCACTATTTTCTATCTTCATTTAGCTTTTATCCTTTCTTCAGTCCCCTATACCCAGTCTCTTCTCTCACCATCACTCTCTGTAACCCCCCGCATACCAATAGCATTCCTTCCTTCTTCAGGGTGACTCAATTAAAAAAAAGTGAATGCCTTTCCTAAGTGTTGTCAATATATTAACTTTGAGCAAAAGTGAAATTTGGTTCAATTGAAACTCACAGATTAGAGGCAAGAGGTTCAAAGAGGAATATAATGCTTAATGAATATGATGGATCACAGAACAGGGAAGGACAGTAAGGGGACAAAATGTTGGATAGTTGTGGAAAGCCAATGATCTATCATATCCTGATAAGACAAGCACATAAAACAGTATTCAGTTTTCTTTGCTAACTGATAACCATAAGTATTCTATCTGGCACTACCTGCCATATGAATACAGAATATATCTTAGAAAAACGTTCATTTAATATTGTTAAATAATAGTTTAACAGGCTTTTATTTTTAAGAGGAAGTGTATTTCTGCTCGGACTTTCTGAGGAATCAGATACAAGACAAAATAAGGAAGTTGATTTTGATTGGCTGAACTAACGTGGAAATGTTAGATAGAAGTTTTTTGGAGAGTTGATTCTTAACTGTCGAACAATGTAGACGTGTTTCCTTTCATGTCTGAAATGGCTTGCTCCCTAGTTGGGGAGAGCAACCCCACTGGATAACTAAGGAAATGTAAATATCAATGTCATTAATAAAACTAGATGAGTTCAAATTATCTTTGTTGATGTCTTTCATCTCTGGACCCAAATCATTTCACCACCCAGCCGGGAGAAGATGAGAGAAGAGAGAGAGAGAGAAATGATACATATGAGTGAATTGATGCGATCATCATGACCACTCCCACCAGAGGCTTTTTGCAACATTTTTCCATTGAAAGAAAAAATAATTTAATTGTTAATTCTATTCATATGATTATAATTAAAATCCCTATCCCTTTGAAGAGGAATCCAGGAATAAAAAGTCACAGAAAAAAAAAGAAAAGAAACTGGACAAAGTTGACAACTGTTAATACACGGCAGACAAAATCCCAGCCACTTAACCAAAAGGGGACAAAATCCCAGCCTCTTAACCAAAAGGGAACAAAATCCCAGCCTCTTAACCAAAAGGGAACAATATCCCAGCCTCTTAATCAAAAGGGGACAAAATCCAAGCCTCTTAACCCAAAGGGAACAA